TACTTTCACTTTCAAATCACTTTTCGTGAAGTCTTATACTCTGACTTATGGTGTCAGACAGAAATAAACATATAAATGAACACACGACTCATGTAGTATTTGTCCAGTGCTCCTCTTTCTTCCGAAGGAGTAGAATGGCTCAATTGTAGGCCTGATTATAGGACAATTTAGGCTTGATTCTAAGTAAACAAGCGTAAATTGAGTAAATCGACTCTATTCGCCCCTTGGAACTGAGGCTAATTTCACCATAAGTATGCACAGAAACGTGTCATTGAGATGCTTCTTCTTTTGAGTCCATATCTCATCTTCTCATTGATAATACATTTTCTTATATGTAATTCAATGATAATGTAAACTCACTGTGATATTATTCTTTCTTGATGTACTGTCTGTTATTATTATTATTTGTTCTCCCATGTGTTTTGAGTGGAACATAGGGCTTCAACAATACATCTTCGCTTTGTTCTACTTGTTGGCTAATTCTTCACAACCCGATGTATAATTTAGTGCACCATAATTATGAATACCTTATTTGATTACTTCCAAGCCGTAATTTCTTCTTCGCTGAGTTTTTGATTGCGGATCACTGACAAGTTGCAAAATCACGTGGCTGTTTAGAGAGTTTGATAAGTATCTGAGGCACGCCGCTATGTGATACTGAACTAGTTTGGAAGTAACTCCTCGTTAAGTTCTATGTGTAAATCTTTTACGAAGTCGATGAATCTTTTCGCCAAAGTTTTGACCACCATTCCATGCTTTGTTCGATGATGATGATGCGTAGCGTTTCTTTAAGATCAGCATATGATTCGCCTTTCCTGAATCCAGCTTTTCTCGTTCTGCAGAATTTCGGCGTCCAGTGCATCTTTTATTCTCTCCAGGATGGTGCGACTTAGTAGTTTAATTAGCGTGGACAAGAGGATAACTCTCCGTCAGCTCTAGCATAGGCAGACGTGTGTCTCCCTTCTTTGGTAGCTTGACAATGTAGCCTTTCCTCCAGTCTATAGGTACCTTGCCTTCCTTCCAAACCTTTTACAATAGTTGAGTCAGCTCATCTTTCACAGTATCTAGGTCCTTATCCAGTGCTACGTGGGAATGTCTTCTAGCTCTGCCGCCTTACTGTCTGACTCTAAGTATCTTCATCGCATTCAAGATTTCTGATTTCATCGGAGGTTTGGTGTCTTCTTGCAGGGAGTGCTGTGTGTGCTGTTTGTGGTTGCGTTACTTCTGGGTGATTTGGAAGTCCTTTAAAGTGATCAGCCCATTGTTTGATTTGTTTCTCCCCCTGGATTATCAGGTTCCCTTGAAATTCTTTTATTGGTTTCATCATCTGCGTTAATGTCATCCCGGATAGAAACTTGGTTACCTGATATGATTTCCTCACGTCATTTTTACCTGTGGCCTACCTGCTCTGCTTCAGTTGTCAACGTGTGGCAGAATTGTTCTTTGTCTTTCCCATCACTCTTCTTTACTGCTTTACTCAGTGCAGCGGACATTTAACTTGGCTTATCCTTCTGTTGTCCATCTATCCATTCCGTCATTTTCTCTTTCATTATCCTCCTCTCTTTAATTAGCTTCCACGTATCAGCTGAGAGGCATTCCTCGTGGTGTCTCTTCTTTCCTGCTAGAACAGTTTGCATGCTTCCTTGAACATGGCCTACAGAGAGTTCCACGTGCCATGTCTTCGAATATGCGCTGATGACTAGAGTTAAAGTATCTCTTATAGTTTTGTCCTTCAGTTTCCGAGTGTTAGACTTGAATTTTGGTCTCTCCGGAGTTGTCCTGAAGATTTTGAGCTTAACCTGGGACGTCCCTTGAACTAGATAGCAGTCTGAGCTAACAGCTGCTACTCTTCTCGACATCGTGTTCAGCAGGCAGTATCTCTACTTCCTTGAGATTGAGATGAAATCTATCTGGTTTTGGGTGTGTCCATCAGGAGGAATCCATGTTGCCTTGTATTTATCCTTGTTGTTTTACATCCTTCTTTAGATCACCACATTATTGAAAGGGTAGAAGTCTCCTATGTGAAGAGAACGGAGTAGATTATTGACTCTCTACCTGACGATTTTGATAATCCACTTTTATTACTTCTGTTATCGCAGATACCCAGCGCTTCTATGACATATCGTCTCATTTCTTTAACTACCTGGGCAGCCTTCCCAGCCATCTTAGTACATTGTACGTACATTCTGCGTCCCCATTGTTGTTCTTGCATTCATAGGTTGAAGACATCGGCAGGCTGACTGGCTTCCTGAAAGCTTTCACCAGCCCGCTGTGTCACCTCATCTCTCCCGCACGAGCGAAGAATAATATGTTCTTATATTTTTGTATTTTTAATATATTCCTTGTGTGTTGAAGTTTCTGTTGCAGTTTAAGTGGTTTTTTGGTGTAGGTTTGCTAACACTACGCCAAAACATTCCTCTTTACCCGAGCTTGGGACTGGCTAGATGAATAGCCAATTAGTAAACTACGCCAGTTTACTCTCTGTTTGACATAATTTTATTTCGCCTATACTCTGGCTACTTTTTATTCTGACGTTACTTTTTCGGTAATTGAAGAGCTCTGTTTACATCCTCCATATTCGTTCTCTCATAATATGACGCGTGTTGGGTTCTGAATAGTCGCAAACTTTAACGCTTAGTTTGCAGTACCTCTCTAATTGAAGTCAGTTCCTGATGAAAAAAACACTCAGATCTCTATAAAACCTACACTTTTAAAGCATATACAAGCCCTAAGGATAATTTTTATAATTGAACAACAAATTGCGATAACTTTCAATACGAAGACAGTGGGGATGCAATTACTTCAGTCAAGATCGCAGTGAGGAGGAAATTAGTTTCATCGCTTGTCTAGTTGGAAGAAACTTCGAGATCGTAATAATTTGATTCAAATTATTTGTAGTTAGACCGTAATTTAAGCTGAGCAGTTATTTCTTGAATAACAGAGCTATAAATGTCTCATTCATTACTGCCGTCGAGAGAAACTTAGGGAAATTTAAATATACATCACTAAAGAAGCGTTTACAGCCTAGCGATATATTTCTTACAAAGCAACGTGCAACTAAATTTGTAAATTTTTTATGGAGAGTAGGATGAGGCAGCACAAGCGATGACTCACTTGGGCGAAGTGAGTTTCCATAGAGTGGATAAAGATGATCTGGCAGAAGATGGACATAAGTAGAGATGAACAACGAAAGCAAAGACTGACCACAATCTATACCACGCCGAATACAACATTGGAAAACAATGCTCAGGAATAAAAGCATAATTTTTAGTCGGAAGTGTTTATTAAAGAGTATGAGGCTAAGAGTAAGACAAACTCACAAAACTACATCGAATGGCCACATTGAGAATTAAGATGAACGTAGATGTCACCAGATGAAGAGAGTAGACTAATCCATGTGACTGAGAAGATGGAGGAGGGGAAACGCTTGACCGATCGCTTCAAAGTTCTCCAAAGTTGCATTTCACCTCAAATTCGTGCAGAATCACCTGCTTTAATCAACATCTCCTCAGTGATAACATAAACTCTGAGGTCAATATCTTTGCCAAAATGATGGCAAACGGAGTGAAATAGTGGATGGAAGAAAAGATACTTGCTGACTAGAATTAGGTCTACCACAACAAAATTTGAAATAACAGGTAATTAGGACTTTTCAAAAACTAGTCAGGAGTCAGTCTTCTGTCCACCAGAAGCGAATAAAAAGCCTCGTCATTCTTCATCGAATGAAACATGCTTTTGATGGCAGACTTCAAAGTTAACCACTACGAATAAGGGGAAATAAGTCAAGAGCTGGTCCAGTAGCAGCCATACGCGTTACCATCTTATGGAATCCAGAATATCAGCCAATTGTCCACATCAAATCCGTCAAACCTGAAATGCCTTCCATAGCATCAATCGCGAATTAATCTGTCAACTGCCTCAATGCTACCTAGGGTTAATGCAGACAAGTTTTATAAATTGTATTCAGCAGCTGGTAACCAGGTGCTAACGCCTGCCTTCACTCAGTACTGAAGATCAGCTGCCCGGTTATGTAGAACATGTGAGTACCAAAGAAATGGCAGAGCAATCCAACAAGGTAATACGAATCAAATATGTCGAAGGAAATGTATGTAAAGTTGGTATAGATTAATTTCATTTTTCCAGGCAATTACACAAATATTATATCCCATTACGCATACACTTCACTGTCCTATTAAATCAGCCCCATTTACAACGAAAACGGGTTTACTTTGAATTAATCGAGACATGGATCACTTTGGCGCATACTGGTGTATTCTCAGCATCCTGCGTTTTTCTAAGGTTTCTGTCTTTCGATGTGAATCATCCATTCTAATTAACTGAGTTGTTTGTTTAGAGCACTGCCTACATTCACTGGTTATACGAGTAATATTAAGTTAACGTCAGGGACTACTTCAAAAATGTAGGAATTTCACGAGAAACTCATAAATGTTTGGATGAAAAAATTACTAAATAAGACCTGAAAGCCAAAACAGACCACTTATGGCAAATGAGAAAATTATGGTTCATAGGGATGTCTGTTTCATAAAATACACGGCCTCTTGATCTGAAAGAAGCGAGTGGATTTAGAGTGTAAATATCAGACTGAGTTCGTATCATGGTAAATAATTGATTATTACCGATTACAGATTTTGGAATAAATAATGATCGTTTTTGGATTATTAAACTTCAGCCGTCTATGCAACATTAACACACTATACATATTCCTGAACTAAATTTCTAGTTCTCCAGTCAATAAAGATACATCTTGTGTACAAGCACATACATGTGCACTGATCTATAATCAGGTGACTACCATGTACCATGTGACAGATGTTTACAGTTCTAGTTTTATGAATCTTAAGTGACTATAGATAACCCACTGTAAACTGAGGTATAATATCACTAACCAATTGGTGTTTTATCCAAATTACGATCACACTGGCTAAGCTTTGACTTTTATCGAAAAAGAAATATATATTAGAAGAGGTGGATCAAATCAAATGATTCCAATGCTCAAAATGCTCTACAAGACATTCGCAGTAGCTTTTCTCATTCTGTGTGCGCACAAGTATTCATCGTCTTTCAATAGTAAGTGTTTAGTGTGGTAACTGTCTTAAGTGAAATATGCTTTCGTAATCGTAGTAGGAATGGTGTCGAATGATGTTGACTGAATTGCACACATTGATTGTTTGCTTCATTTGGACTGAATGCGAGTACACTTATTATTCATTCTTCAATTTTAGGTGTTTGCTTCCAAAAAATGGAAGATGGCCCATGTAGGGCTCTACACCGACGATATTATTACAACTCGACTGTCGGTTCATGTCTTATGTTCCACTATGGAGGATGCTATGGTAACGAAAATAACTTCCTAACGAAAGAGGAGTGTCAGGAAGCCTGTGGACAAAGGTATTCGCAGTTTTCATGAGAATCTTTTCCAAAGTGTCCCTTGTTTCCACTTGTGTTTCACCAAAACAACATCATCACCAACAATAAAAAACAACAGAAAACCTTGAGGAGTTGTCACTCTTTAAGTGTGTCTCACATAGACAGTGAAGGTGGCTATGATTTAGCCTGATGTCTTGTCGGAAGTGCTTCGGTCCAAATCAAGGCCGTTCGTTTGTGAACTGATGAGAGTCAAACTATCTGGCGTGTTTTATTCTGCTGAATTCATCTGAGCATTTGGAAATAATCAGGTGGTAATCATCAGGCGATATAAGTGATGCCGACTGAGAATAACAGGCGTCAAACAGGACGACTGAGTAGGCCTGCTTGGCTATTTTCAACACTAAGTTATGAACAAGGGGACAGGAGGGTCGACTCCTTTCATCCTGAACAATCAACTACTGCGATGAATCACGAGTTATGAGGTAGTGCCGATGTAGAATTGCTGTCATTTGTTAAACTAGTTTTCAATAGATGAACATCGAGACGTACTTATTCAAACTGCTTTTCGTTTCCCTTTTAGCGGCCGATTCAATCCAAGTAAGTGTCTTCCAGTTGAGATATCCTGATAATTCATACAGTGACTGTATATTTATATTCATATTTGGGGTGTAATTGGAATTCAGTAACTTGTGCACTTAATTCCTCACCTTCGAAACTGAACGGTGAATTTGTATGTTTGTGAAAGATCGATATGAATGCTATCGGAGTTTTCACATCTCGACGCTATATATAAGTATACAACGGAAAATGGCCCTCAGTCCCTAGTGCTCACAGTGTAATGCATTTCACTCGAAACCTATTTCCGTAGGAAATGCATAAGTTTTATAAGCCACAATGCTGACATACATTGCGGCAGATGAGAACTCACCACTTCATTTGGATTCACAATTTGCAATTCTATGAATAACTGACGCGGATATACGTTGTGGCGAATTCGACGGGAACGCCCGCTCGTGTTCCGAAATTCACTGAATAGGATCACGTGAGACTACACAATGAGGCTACTGATGGTGTCGGAGGAATTTCGCCTCGCTGTCATAAGTCCTCCGCGTAAGTCATGACAATCGTAGTCGTATTGTTTCGCAATACATCTTCATGTAACCTTATCTTTACTAAAGCTTTATAAATGTTTGAATACTTCCAGATGACTGCAACGTGCCAAGCGAGACAGGAAAATGCCGGGCTGCCTTCAAACGTTACTTCTATAATAAGGAGACTGGAGTATGCGAAATATTCACATATGGCGGTTGTAATGGAAATGGAAACAATTTCCAGACTGAGGAAGAATGTCAGGCCAAATGTGGAACATAGTAAGTTTCATTGTTTATATTTTATAAATGAAAAGTGCTGTGATTTTCCAAGAGAATTGTTTCATTTAACTCTATTTCCGTCGTACACAATAACAACTGCTTTGAGTATTACGTAACTACTTTTATCACCACTGCACAATTTCTTATAATGTACACTTAGAAAACAATTATCTTCCACAGATAAGCGTGATTTGAGGAATCTTTAGGATAATTTTTTCTGCTCAACTCTACTTTTAAGGAAAATCACATTAAAAATGCAATCAGCACAAATTTTGCATTAACTGTAGTCAATGCATGACGTCACTTGTTTGAGGCTAAACACATGAAATTATTCACGCTAAATGACACCGATAGCCATCAATACAGGTATTCAGTACATAACAACCCTGATAATTATTTCAATATGCTGCTCACTGAAACTTCGCAAACAAAGGATTCGTGTTGTATAGCCAATAATCAATTCATTCAGCGTGTCCACATTGTCAAGACTTATGAAGAACGCAAAAGTCAGAACTATCGCATCGACATTATGGCATGACGTATAAAACTAAGGATCATTCCTCAGTATGTTGAATCAGACAACTATTTCAAATCCAGATATATTTGATTGAGTCTGAAAATATGCGCTCTAAGGATTCCGTGTAGAGTAAATATTAGCGTGACACTTGTAGAGTAGATGAGTAGTTCAACGAAGAGCCTCTTTTCCGCGAATTCATTTTCATGACTGTACAATTACAAATATATTCATACATGGTTATTTCGTAAGTGTGTTTACATTAAATTGCTCAATCGAAATAACAATTAGTAAGTTTTCGATGGAGTAACGTATTACTAAAAGCATTCAAGGGATTTGTATATTGATACAACAGGGTACAAACAAAAGTGATGAGTTGTCAAAACGATTGTCAAAGAAAAGTTACGTAAGATTTGTACTCAGTGTTTACGTGTAGACAAAATAAAATACGGAAAAACGTAAGTGTTTTAAAGGAATGCATGAGTTTTATAGTGTCCACTAGAATAACCAACAAGAAATCCGCTTTAGTTTTGAGAGGACTCAAAATGTAACGTTAATACAATCGACGAATATATTCGGTGTATATCAGGAAATTACTTGAGAAAACTTTTTAAAATAGGACTGTTACGGTGTTACCCCAGTAAGTGGATTAGACCACAAAGCAGAATATCGACAATGCATTACATTTGAAAATATTCTGCTCTGTCTAGGCGAGTAAATTAGAGGTTTTAAAGTGACATTTAAAATCTATTTTCCGAAACGATGTAAATGAAATCCAGTTTGAATAATACTAATAATAATACTAATACTAATAACTTCAGTATCCCTTAGTTTGAATTAACTGAGTATCAAATTTACTCTACTTTGGTACAGCAGTATACTTTCCAAAACACTATTTCGTTGTCTCAAATGGTATTTTTGCTTATACAAGGATTGATTTTGCTTTGTGAATGTGTTCATCAAAGCAAAATTTCGTTGCTGATTTACTGTTTCTCAGCACCCTGTATAGTATGCACATGAATCCAAATACATTTGGATTAAGGTAGATGATAGTAATACCTCCTCGTTGGTATGTTACTCCAGTCTGATAAGAAATCAATGCTTCATAGTTTCAAAAGGCTTGCATAAGCATATTAGTCTTCAACATACATTCTTGAATTTCATCTGTGACTGTAATTTTAGAAAAGTGATATCTTAATATAACAGCAGAATACGAAAAACACTGTGGAATTGATTTATCCCGCACACTCATTCAACTTTTTATGACCCAGCTATTATTTGTTACACAGGCAGAAAGAATAGTGCCTCATTTTGTGGACAGACTACTTACTAAAAATATACATATATATATATATATACATGTATTTATTTATTGCGTTATTAGTGTTAGAACCAGTAAGCTAATCTTTTAAACGTAACTTTCATGGAACATTGAAATTGAGATTTAATTAACTGACCTGAGTAAAATAATGTGAAAACAACAACTTGTTGAAATATTGTATTCATGGAGGGTTTAATCATGAGCTGAAATCAGTTAGAGAACCACTGGAAAACCTGGGAGTACTGGACAGCTGTTTCGTCCTAGTTTGGGACTCTTCAACAGTACGCACCCACCGGGATTCGAACCCAGGACCTTCTGGTTACAAGGCGAGCTCGTAGACCATTGAGCCACTGGGACCCGATCCAATGGTCCTTGAATTCTAACTTCTGCCCATTCACGACATAGCGCGACCACTTCGCAATGTCTTCTTCCATGAGTTACTGCCTCATCTTCAACCTGCTGTACCCTACTGGTCACGGCTTCCCACTAGAACCCCAGGTTAACTGCCTGAATAGGGCCAGTCAATAATAAAATAATATGATAACAACAACTTGTTGAAATTTTGTACTCAGTTTACTTAAAATATGTTCTAATTTCTAATGAAATGGCTTCCGATATCATGAATTCCAAGTAACTTCAAAGTGAGCCAAGTGAAGTCTGTTTGCACTGTTGCATAAAAGTTCATTATAATCAATTTCGAGAATGCTATTTAATAGTTCGTTTAAGCACGAATAATGTGGTGAAGGAGAATTTCATTCGTCTCTCCACAAGGCCCCAGAAAATAGTTTAGATATTCCATTTGTATAATCATTCACTCATATCAGATCCTGAAGATAAGTGGACGCCAAAAAACACTGATAAACTAATCTCTCAATGTGATATATAACCATTTTCATATATCAAAATTACACCATGAAATTGTGAATATCAGTCATGAAAGGAGGTGACTGGCATGATAATAAGAGACTTCAAAAATTCAGGCATCTTCAGTCTTTTCATAGCTTAAAGTATTAATAACAATAGTCTAGAAAGTATTAATTCACTGTCATCAACTTCACAGTTTTACTGGAATATTTTACACATGTTTATTACCTCATATCTAGCCAATGCCGAATGTGGATTCATATCTTAATTGTGTTTGTTTAAAACGGAAATCTTAAAAATGAACCTGTCATCAGACTTTTACATATTTATTTTTCCCACTTTTAGCTACCACTAGAAGTAAGTTTCGGTTTCTCATCAATTTTCACATGAAACCATTTGATCGGTGTTCCTCATTGTCAGAAAACAACTGGAACAGCGTGTATGCACATAACTCAGTAAACATAAACATATGATTACTATTCAATACGACAAATCTACGTCCATTTTACGGTACAGCATTAATCAGCATATGTACATAATCAAAGATAACACTCCTGCAGTTCTTATTGGGCTTAGAAAAGGAAGCAGTTTCATAACTAATAATCACTGGAGTCGATAGCTGTCATAATCAAGTAATCTACAAGTTACCGTCCCTAACAAACCACCACGGATCCTTTTTCTTTCTCACGGAAGGTGTTTTATTAATAATTCGGAACTCGGCACTGGTCATATATGACATATAAGTTGAATCAGTTGTTAGTATGTTGAAAACGGCTTGGTGTGAAACAGCTTACAACATTTCAAGCACTACTAATTATAAGGCTGAGGTATTCACGTAACCATAAGGAAATACTAAGGTTTCGGATTTTCCCCAATAGTACCTGTAAATAAATACATCGACAAACGTTAGATTAAGTAAACAAAAGCTTCTCGCAATTCCATACCTTCATATATCGACCTATACTCAGCCGCATTGAGACATGATGTTATGTGCTTTCCGAGTTCCAACAAATTCCATGAGTCACAGGAAACAACCATGGGACTGTCCACATGAGAAAAATCAAGACTTGGCATACTGCTTCAGAAGCCTGTACATATTCAGATATTATAATCTGATCAGTGAGATAATTTTGAAGCTGTTTAATACGAGTTAGGATGATACGTGAAGTGTTAATTCTTTGTCTGACTTCGGTGGATACCATTCCAATTGAGGAATAAAGTATACTTTATTGACTCACTATGGCTATTACCAAGTATTCAATTTATTCCAGAATAGGTTTTGAAGCCAGTTAAACCAAATATGAATAAAACGTGTTAGTTGTATTATTAGCAAGAACACCGACTTCTCACATTTATGTTGCATATCTGTTTCTAACAATGACGTGCTACCAAATCTGTTTGAATCAGCCTCAAAAATACTTTAAATAAACCAGCTCACTCCCTTTAGCTTTGAACGATTCCATACTTTTCTGTATTCTATTATTTAGCCACCACTACAGGTGAGTACATATTTAAAATGTAATTGTTTGAAATACACCCAACCTGATATGTTCACACAGATATATAATGAGTAATCATTATTACAACCGCCCCCCCCCACGAAAAAGCTAACCCTGTGTGTTTTTCCAATGACCATTAGGGAATGAACAAAAGTTGAACAACTCACAGCTATCATGAGAACGCATGGCCAGAGAAATCCATAAAATCGGGTTTTGAGAAGAATTGGTGATGACTGCAGTGGAAGTCTATGGCATCGAATCGTCAAATGATAAAAATTAGGACTGACCGATCATTGAATTTCAACTAAGAAACTTATTCGTCATTGATATCACCTCTAGAATATGGATGCATGAGTTTGATCCCTGACAGGATTGTGAGTTCCCACTTCTGGAGAGTCCGAAAATAGTAACAAAACATATGTTCACTGCCTACTAGTTCTCAGTGTTTTCATAAATGATTCAGGCTTACGACAATACGTGTTCCCCTACCAATCACAAATTAAAAGTAATTCCATTAGCAATCTAGAAATAAGTGTTTTACCTACCATACAGCTGATACAGAAAGTGAGTTCGCAACTTCTGTTCATCTGAAAATTCATCAACTTCTTCTGTTGGATGTACGGTAGTTATTCTCATTAGTATCAGAAAGCCATTTGGACAATATGTGGCGCTGTGGGTTGAGGAACATTTGATGTTTTAAGATGCACACTCACCGGTAACTTTCGATATGCGTAGTTGAATTCATTAAAAGATTAAAAAGTATTTTATACTGACGCTTCAAAACAACTAGGCTTGCTGTATATCTGTGCATAAATTGAAATATTGGTTTAATAGCTCCCGTAAACTCATACCGGTTTTGTGTTAGAAGACTATTTCTGTTCGAGATTTAATGTGTACTTTATGCACTATTAGTCGGAAAACGTAATGAGGAAGGACATGATCTGAAGGTTCAAAAAGTCTAAATGTTCTAATTTAACAGCGATCAGTCAGTTTAACTGACGAAACAACAAGTAACTTCTCTGTTGCGAAAATTCCATTGCTATTTACCACATACTTTATCGCATCAAGGCACTACTAAAAGTGATTTGGAATTTTCGCTAAACTTCTTTACAGATTTAGGCATGGCTCAAATTAGTTCTGTTTTGTGTCATTTAACCCAACAATAATTCGCTGACACATTTCGATTAGATGGGGTTATGAGGCTTATAAAGTCAGCTGCACCGACTTTATAAGAATCATAAATATGGTTAACAGTATGATGCTCCACTCAGTTCGTAAATCATAACCCACAGACTCTACTTCGTCCAGATTATCGAAAAATGAATGTTGTAATCTCATGCACACACGCTGATCGATTGTATAAATGCAGTCATTGCAAACAGATAAACATATCATAATTTTCATCCGGAATTCAAGAAATGTTTGTATATCTTGTGTTCATTTAAATAACAGATCATTAACTTGAACTTGATTAGTGAATATTCTCCTAGTTTATCATTCATTTCACTTTTACTCTTTCTTTCTGTAAGTAGTCATGAACAGCTGACTGTGTAAACCAAGAATCACAGATTATTGGAATAAGGCTTGTGACACTGTAATACATTTAAATGTGATCATAGGTTATATAAATCATCTACGGAATGGTTTTAGTTGAGCGTATTTCTACATTTTATCTTCACTTGTAACACTTGTAAATTCATTCCGTTTTAGTTTTACAATAAATATTTCTGATTCCTCTATCTATGTCTGTGCATTTTTAATACTCTAGTTTTCATTTTATTCACGATGAACATTGTAACTTCAGTGATGCATGTTGAACTGATTATGTATTTTACCTATGGTGATGAGAAATATATCACTTGCTCTTTATCTTTTCAGGTGCGTCAGATGACAGTATAAAAGACAACAACTGGATACGTGATGTCATAGTCAATATGCTCGGATTAAAGAATTTGTGGGGAAGAATTACAAGAACAATGGAATAAATTTCTCAAAGTATATTTTATATTACCCAATAATTACATATTCTAACTTGTAAACAGTAAAGTTTTAACTTTCCAACATTCCTAATGGCTTTCATTTCAGTTTGCTTTAATCCGCGTGTAGTAAATTTACACAATGCAAACTATAATATCTCTTGATTCTATCGGTGCTGCCAACAACAGAGAAATAAACACCACCGAACTGTGTATTTGCTTTTCAAGTTTATTCTCCAATCTCACTTTTAAAATACATCATTAAATGAGACTTAAGACATTTACACAACTTTGTTTTCACTGACTTCCATATTAATTCATCTACATATAACTTGAATAAACAACAATAAGCCAAGAATTGGTGATTTATTCTTCATTAGCATACTGAATAATGAAATTCTGAAAGCTGAGTGAAACAAATCGACCGCTTTTTTTGAATTAATGTTGAATCTTTAACGAGAGTTCTTCCGAACCTGTGTTAGAATAGCCTGTTATCATGTTTTTAATTTCAGCTAAGATATTTCAACAAATCTCTTTATTTATTTTGTGACAAAAAGAAGTGGTCTTAATATGAAGATCCAGAATTGGTAAATGAATTCCTTTTGGCCTATAGAAAGCGTATTGTATATGTAACCTGTTAAAGCAACAACCACTAAAAGAACATCAGCCGGTCTCTTAGACATGATATGCAAGGCCCTGAAGCCGTCCACAATTTTTTGTGCGTTGAAGATCCAGCGGTAGAGTATTTGCAAATGTTCGTAAGAGGAGTTCCTATTTTAGATTGGTGAATGGAGCACTCATGAACTCTGTCTAGCTTAGACGTTGATTGTAAGCCCAAATAAGATACAAGGCTTCCACTACTGATAATAGGGAAGAACCTATGAAAACACCAGCAATGCTACTGAAAGGTCAAGTATGAAGACCCATGTAACAGTTAATCATCAAAGGTAAGAACAAGTATTGGTTAACAGCAGATCTGAAGGAAAAATATTCCTATCAGTAAATTCTTCACATGTTCCACTACTTAAAAAGTTTAATGTTTACGGTTAAAATGAGGGTGTATGTTGTTTCAGATAAAGTTTCACGTGGAATAACACATTAGTTATAAGGTAACAAAATGAATGGAATTTGAATGACGAAACTGCTACTCTGAAATTAAAAATAATTGTGAAATTTGTTATGGTGATTAGCCATAACAATATTATTGACTACGACCACATTTGTATTCTGAAAGGCAATATGACTAAATGCTAAGAAATTGTCCGTGACCAAACTAAGTTCACTTTTTACAGTTTGAAAACATGTGGGCATTAGAAGTATGATTTTCATTATCATCATCATCATCATCATAAGATTTTTTGTATTCCTCAATGAATGAAAAAACAAAACGATATTGTTTTCCGCTCACGTTTCTCTTTTTACTGCTAATAGTTTTATCAGAGTATTATTTAACCAGATTTTACAAACTCTCAGAGAATGTATAGCAACCTAACCATCGTTCTTCAGGATGATTTGTTTAATACTATCGTCAGGCTGGTCACTTGATAAAGATGGTGAAGTTATGTATATATTGTTGGATTTGATTAGAGTATAAAAGTATAAAAACAGCATGTGTTTACATTATGAAATTGTTTATCACATTTGCGTTGATTCTGTCACTTCATTAAGATGGGAGGTGTTGTAACCAGGTCAGAATTTCTTTTAGTCCCTCATTCATATTCACAAAATCTGGATTCCATTTAATATGCAGTGCATCTGATAGGAGACGTCGTTTCTTATTGCTGGATTTTTTCTCAATTATTTTAGTATTGTCAGTATCAGTTTTATGAACATCAAGAAATCCACTTAAACTTAAGTACGATTGAAAAATCATCGGCCATAGGTCTGATTAATCAGGTGACAGAAGTTATTTTGACAATAGCATTATATATTCACGTGCTGTTTTTATAATTGTATGCGCTAATCAAATCCAACGATCTATACACTACTTTATCATCTTTATCAAGTGGCCAACTTGACGACAGTATTAAACAAATCATCCTGAAGAACGATGGTTAGGTTGCTATACATTCTCTGAGAGTTTGTAAAATCTGGTTAAATAATACTCTGATAAAACTATTAGCAGTAAAAAGAGAAACGTGAGTGAAAAACAATATGGTTTTGTTTTTTCATTCATTGAGAAATACGAAAACTTTAATGATGAATGGAAAGAAAAAATAATCACAGAATCTGTATTCATCGAGGTTACGCCTAATGAATGTAACAAGGGCGACTAGGTCCTATTGTCAACAAAATGAAACATAATCCTGGATTGTGGATTATCGATGTGTCACCCTCCTAAAATTAATTTGACAAAATGGTTAGCTGGCATTTTAAGCCCACAATGCAAGGAATTAAGTAAGTTCTCTGTGAACGATGCATTTGAATTTTTTGACCGTCTTATGGACATGAATATGAAAGATATAAAAGTGTAATCTTCTAATGTTATTTCCTTGTTTACTAATGTACCAGTGGTTAAGACCATTGGTATTATTTGTGACTATATATCTTCTAGTTGTTTTTCCTTCCCTTTTCCTTTAACCTGTTTGAAAGATTTATCACTATTATGTACTGGCAATGTCCATTCCAAATTTGAAGGGGAACAGTTTTGACAAGTGAATGGTGTTGCTATGAGGAGTCTATTAGGACCCTTGTTGGTGGATGTTTTATGGATGTCTTATGTTGAAAACGTGTCCTTTGATTTAATTACTAAAGTGCCCTTCTACGGGAGACATATAGATGATATCATTTTTATATGTGGTGATCATGAAAATGCTTTTCGTCTATTGGATAGACTTCACTCCGAACAGAATCATATAGGTATTTTGTGAGAGGAATAGAGTCGCTACCAGCTTGTATTTTTTTAGACTTACTACTGCATCGGAGAGATGATAGTTCAGTTGTACAGAAAACCAACTTGGACAGAGCAATGCCATCATTTTCACATCTGTTTATTACATTATGAGAGAGACTTCGTGGAACGCTTATTTGAGAAGATTCAGAGTATTTGCACAGCTGATGTTTTACAGGATGAAATTAAAATACAGATGGATACTCTTGTTCAAAACATACATCATACAGAGTTTTTAAACCGGCGTAAAGGTCAGTTAGTTTCAAAACCTACAATCTATTCCGCCCCTCAGAACTATGTCTTCATCAAGATAGCATTAAATGGGGAAGTAAAAATAGTAGGATTTTAAAACAGAAACTGAATTCGAACATCCGCACAATATATTATGCAGCTTGACTTATGAATATCGAAAAAGGTACAAATATGCTCCACTGTGAACCCCAAAGGTGCACAAGTGATTACATCACACCCCACACTATATACCAACCTACGTATATTTGTGAACACACATACACAGGGGCTGGTAACCTCTCTCTGCATGTAAGGGTGGAAGAGAATACTCCGAAATGGTCAGAAAAGCAGATGAACCCTAGAAAATGGAAAGATGCAGGTAAGTACCACCAGCTTTGTCCATAGCCGAAAATCTAATCGATATGAACCACAGGACTGATGTCTGTCTGTCTGTCTGTCTGGATTCAACATAGAACTTGGCACCGAAGTGCAGCAGTTCGAGTTGCCACGTTCCAAATAGCACACAGAGGTAGACAAGAAGATGAGTGAAGAGAATCAATAGAGTTTGACAAGTATAAGAGTGAAACAGAATGGGTAATGGTAGAAAGGAATATGAAAGATTACAGAGACTGAATACATCTGCGCGCCATTGACAACGATTTTGAGCCATGTCACCTATTGTCTCCAGCCATTGATTCCTAGAGTCCCGAGGGCCCCAACCCGGGAGTCTGCATCTCCCTACCTGACTCAGTTTAACTGTCAAGGATTTCATGGATTGATGCCATGTTTTTGTTTGGCCACCACTGGCTCTTTTCCAACCTGAACCTATATCAGCTAGCAATGCCCGTCGGGGGAGGCGGTGGTTAGGCATGCGCAGCACGTGACCTAGCCATCTTAGTCTATGTAACTTTATAGCCTCGTCGATTGATTTTCCCTCTTTGCCCAACACTCTACGCCTAACGTCAACATTACTTACCTTGTGAAACCACCTAACGTGAGACAGAGATCGCAGACATCTATGATCGAAAGCAGTCAACCTTTTCATGTCTTCAACGCGTATTGGCCATGTTTCAGAGCCATAGAGAAGGACGGAGCGAACTGATGAGCAGTACACACGTCCCTTGGTTGATAACCGGATGTCACGCCTACGCCAGAGATGGTGTAAGTCAGCGAAAGCAGCTCGAGCTTTTCGGATCCGTGCTGAGATTTCATCGCCAATCAGTCCGTTGGTGCTAATACAACTTCCCAAGTAGGTGAAGTGGTCAACATGTTCTATCACTTCACTCCCTATCACTAAGTTAGGGGTTGACGTGTCCAGTCCTGTAGCAGCATCTTACATTTTGCAGGGGCGAATCGCATGCCAAACATACGAAGATTGCTGCTCAAGGTGTTCAGAAGACTCTGCATTTTGTCAGCATCCTCCCCTAACAGGACTATGTCATCTGCATATTCTAAGTCCATTAGATTATTCCCTGGTAACAAGTCGATTCCTAAGTCACTACGTTCAGTTAAGGATACTTCCATTAGCATATCTATGATGAAGTTAAACAGAAATGGGGAAAGTGGACATCCCTGTCGGACACCACTGGTTGTTACCAATTCAGATGACAATTCCCCATAAGCCCTTACACGACTACGTGAGTTTGAATAGAGTGCCTTGATTAGTGCAATGTACTTTCTTGGCACTCCCTTCACAGTCAGACATTGCCATAGTACCTTTCGATCCACGGAGTCGAAGGCCGCCTTCAAGTCAAGAAATATGACAATTGTTGGACGCCGAAAAGTGTGTCTATGTTCTAGAATCTGTCGAAGAGTGAAGATATGATCTATGCACCCTCTACCTGGTCTAAAGCCTGCTTGATTTTCCCTTGTCTGTTCCTCCCGAGTTCTGCTTAGTCTATGCATGATTACTGAGCCTAGGATTTTAGAGACTATGTTCGTTAGGCTGATCCCCCTATGATTATCACACGAGGACTTGTTTCCCTTCTTGAATATCGGTATAATAAGTGACTTACCCCAGTCTGATGGAACTGTCTCTGATTCCCAGACTTTGCCTAGTACCTCAGTTAATCTACAAACTAGTATGTCACCCCCATATTTAAACACCTCCGGAATAATTCCGTCGGGTCCTGCCGCTTTGCCTCGTTTCAAATTACTGATAGCTTTTGTAACCTCACCTACAGACGGCGGACCAGTGTCTATATCCCATTCGGGTGTGTTGGATGGCGGGGAGGTTCAGTGTGGCTGTAGGCAAGTTAAATTGTTCCTCAAAGTGTTCTTTCCAGCGTTCAAGGCGTCTATCCTGAGAGCTAATTAAGGAGCCATTTTTCTCAGAAATAGTCTCACTTATGAATTGCCTTCTCCCACCCGATTCTGTGATGAGTCTAAAGAGTTGCCTAGTGTTGCCTATCGCCGATGCTTTTTCCATCTCTTTCGCCTTTGTCACCCACCACTGTTCACGGTCCTTGCGGAGACTTTTAGTAAGTTTCCTTTTGTGCAGCTTTCGCTCCTCATTGAATTCGGAGCTCGCCGGAATAAGTCTTCTAGCATCTATCAGTTCGGATGAGGCAGTCGAAATCCAGTGGTTTTTACTCACCTTTGGATTTGCCTTATTCACAGCTTTTACAGCTGTATCTATAGCTGACTGATGTTAAAACAGGCGAAAGTGTTATGTTTAAAAACGGTTAAGGGTGCTTACTGGAATACGCTGAGGCGATAGCTATTCCTAAACTTGAGTCCACGTCTGTGTTTAGAAGGACAGTTACTCTTAACCAACCCTGGTGATCCCTATCTGATCAAACGTACTGTCAG